ATGAGCTGAGATGTAGATGCGAGGATGTGAAGATGAGCAGAGATGTAGATGTGCAGATGTGAAGATGAGCAGAGATATAGGTGAGAACTTGATTGTGCAGAGGTGAAGATGTGAAGATGTAGAGGAGGCGTAGTTCTGCAGATGTTTTTTAACGAAGAACCCTTCGCAGGCGCTTTTGGGAAACAAACAAAATTAGCCGGATCCAGACAGAATTTGACTTAAACTTTCCCGACCGAAGTCAGTCCACATCAGTTCGGCTCCTTTTGGGTGGTCTCGTCTCATCCGGAGGGGCGTTGTTGTCGGGCATCGCGCTCATGTTGGCCAACTTAAGATGGTGGTGTTTTATGCTTGTCCATCAAAGCGACTGAAACCCCTAGGTTGTTTTCTTTTTCACATGCGGGATGATGAATTTTCTCTTTATTTATTCATTTTTTCTAAACAGGCATCGTACGGTATCAATGCATGTTCGGCAACCTCAGACATGTATAAAGATGAGGTCATGCCTGAAAAAAGGGTATCATCCAAATCCACTCAGAAATGACAAATATAGATTGACACCTGTGGGTTCCAGGGTCTTTCTTTCAAACCATATCCATGTATATATATAATTCTATATGTCAGGTTTCTTCACATGCCCGTATCATCTGAGGATGATAGTGACGCTCAAACTGTTTCTTGGCTCTGAGATCCTTCCTCATTTGCTTTCCATTTGTCAAATCAATTGGCACAGGATTCTTCGCCCTTCTTGCGTTGGAGGCCATCGCTAGTAGGTTCGAAGCCATTGCCATTAGGTTGGAGGCCATCGCTTCTAGGTTGGAGGGCAGAGCAGCCTTCAAAAGATGTATGCTGCAGCTACATGATGTTCTGAGTCCGCTGACTGCGTAAGGCATCATCCTTCAAACATCACTGAGGTTTGACAGCTTTGCGTTTCTTTGGAACTGCCCAGAGGCCTTTTTCGCAATGGCGGATTGATGCTCATTGCAGATGCCCATATCTTCATCCAAAGTATGTGCGGTTCTGTTGAGATACAGCATTGGAGGTTGAGAAACTAGATGCAAGATGGCACAAACAACATTGATTCCTCTGCTTCAGGCTATGCTGCACATGTTGGTGCTTTCCCTCGCCTCGACTCTGACGCAGTACATGATCTCGTACACCATCAAGCACCTTGGACACCCTCTGCGAGTTGGTTGAAACGATTTCGGCTGATCTCATCGCAGAAGGGAGATTTCGGACAGAACCCAGTGGTTTTCTCGAGGTGACGAACTTCATTAATCCATGAAGGTTACGTCAAGCCAAAAAGCTGGAAGGCATCTTTGGAAGAACCTGAGCGCCTGAGCATTCATTTCAGCGTTGTGTTGAGGCACTTTGGCCCTGTGGTCTTCACCATCATCGCCTCCACGCGACAAGTGATCTCTGTGCTGATCAGTGCAGTGCTCTTCAGCCATCATATGTCAGGCATCGGTCATTTGTCGACGTGACAAGCCAAAGCCCTCGCGAGAGAAAGCCAAACCCATTGGCCATCGCTAAAACACAGGCAGGGTTCCACTAGGTTCACCCACTGGTTAATCGAGAACGTAACTAAAACTTGTGGACTTTCGGGGGTCCAAAAATAGGGGACCTCGGGACTTCTCAAATTGCCATATTAGGGTCCGAGAGGGAGTCCTTTGGGTCGTTTGAAACAGATGCCTTCGCGCCAAGAGACGTCCCACATCGAAACAGAAATTATTCCTCAACGTCACGCTTTAAACGACTCACGTTTCCTGAAATAATGATCATGGAAGTGGATGGCAATGGCCTCTTGAGTGACCATCCCGAATACCAAACATGTGGTGAACTCCACTTCCATGTTCGCTTTTCTGTAGATTCTCTTTTCACCCCATTGTGGGATCCCCCCAAAAAGACTGCCAGCCATCCCGGCAAGTCCCGCATGCAGAACCAGGTCCCGGCGGAAAGAAGCGTGCAAGTCCCGTGAAGAGGCGTGGCCTTGGTGGCGATGTTCATCATGTTCGGCACCTTGATGCTTCGCTCTGTGCGGCCTTTGGCGAAGGATCACAACGAGCTGCTGTGGGTGATGCCTGAGGCAGGGCGAGCGAAGATGGGGACGTGGTGCGGTTCACAACAAAGGTGACGAAGAATGGGTGGTTGTTCATGTCAGAGATCCGGGCACTAAGACTTTAGGACCCCTTTTGATCTGTCTATTTCAATTTGGCCACTGTTTAACAATGAAGAGTTTTCATTTCGGAAATCAATGCGTCTAGTCTTGACAAGCAGTATGGTTCACTCACAGACAATAGCAACAAAGCAGCATCAGCGGCGCGATTAGACTTTCATGTATCGATCCCTTAAAAGACAGGACTTGGTCACTTGCCTGCTGTTAAGTCCGCAAGCTTTTGGTGTGGTTGGGTCAGAAGTTGGGCTTGCCAGCTTTCGATTGGTCGGAAGAGCAACTTGCGAGCAGATTGCATTGTTTTGTTCAACCCAACAAAGTCAAAACTATAAGTTCAAGTTCGCTTAGAAGAAGTTCAAGTCAAAACAACATTTGAGTTCAAGTTCGCTTACCTCTCAGAAGAAGAATGTGCGTAAAGGCATCATGTGCCTTGATGATACAGTAATTCGTGATGGACAGGTGGACACCAGGCTGGCGAACCCCAGACATACTCACTCAGAATTCCAACTCCTTCAGGACACACTTATGGTCTTGGGACGATGAACCCTCCTTCAGTGCCACAAAAAAGCTGGCTTGACTAATCCCCGTTCCCAGGACTATCAGCGGATTCCCTTGCTGTTCCTTAGCTGCAGTCTGGGACCGGGGTGTGCCACCGTTGAAAAGAAGGTGCCTTTTTCTGGGTTCTGCAAGACATGTTCTTCCGGTTTGATGGGTAGGTACGATTCTCCACGCACCGCTATCTTTTTTTCTTGTATCTATATATATATATATCCAGCAGATTCAGCAGATACTTTTCTTGATTGGGGATGCACTTTCCGATGACAATGGGCTACATATGAAAAGAGGTCGAGGTTGAGCCAGGCGATTACCCCGAGCCGTTTTCGGTGGTGATCAGACCTCATCACCTTGAGGATCAACATATGCTCTTGTTGTGATGTCAAAAAGGATAAATGGCACAACTTACCATACAAAGGTACGATTTACCATATAGCCCATACACCTTTCGAGGGGTTATACATTTATTGATGAGTATGTTGGATGTTCATCCGGTGTCTGGTGGATTTCATTTCAGTAGGTTGCTGCCCTGGACGTGAAGAGTTCGTTGAAGGTCGAAGCAACGTCGCCAAACAGCCGACGCGACAGTGTTGAAGGGGTCTGGCTCAACAGATGCATCATCCGACGAACGTGCTTGGAAGATAAATCTTCTTGAGGAAAAGGTGCCACCCGGAACGGTTGAACTCACGGTGCCTCTTTTGTGTCTGGTCGAACGTGGATTTCTGCATATTTCTGCCCTACTGGCCCTACTGGTACCGCTGGCACCACGGAGCGGACACCACTTTCACACTCGAGGCGTGAGGCATGACGCACCGCTGACGTACTCCTTACGCGCACTGTCCAAGAAGGGCGTTGTGCAGCTCTCTTTTTGTGCGCACCGTTTCGTTCGGGCTCACTCCAACGATCAAGAAGTGGCTGACGAAGGGGCCCTTGGTTCGTGCCCCCGCTTTCCCTGACCCGTCGTCGTTCGCCGGGATCCCACTGAGCGGTCTCCGGTCCTCAGGAGCTTCTCGGCGAGGCGGTGGTGGGTGGTAGGTCGCTTCCGAGGGCGGTTGCGGGGGAAACCGCGGGTGAGTGAACACCAAAGAGGACGGATGGAAAGAGAAGAACAGGCAAATCCCCCTGCCCCAAGGCGTTGAGTCATGCTGAAAGGGGGTTCTTTGATGGGTCTCCCTTGTTGATGTGGTGATTTTGAACTGGGTACACCCAAAGCCGAGGGGTGATCAACCCAAACCTCAAGCTGAAGCGCGATGGATGTCTTTTTCTATGTTTGTTTGAGACCGGGGATCTGCGCGGTCTGTCCTGGGATGGATGCCAATGGTCGCTCACCAAGAACACATGTCCCCCGGTCGGATTTCGGTACCTGGAAGATCGGCACGGCAGATTCACTGGAACATATGCCGTCGGCAGTCGCCTTCCCTTCAAAGAGTTCGGTTGACCTGGTATGACCTGGTTCTGTAGTGTCAAGTCCTTAGTAAAACAATGGTTGTCCGGTGGAAGAGGCTATTATATAATTCAATGGTGGTTGGAAGCCTAGGGCATGCGTACTGGGACGCAGGCTCTCAGTGTTTTCACCTCTATTTATTTGTACGCAGCTTGGCGGCATGCTGTCGTGCTTTTGAGTGCTTTGAGGGCCCATCCATTGACTGCTTTTGGAGAATGTACATGACACTGGGAAGTTTCTTATGGAACCACTGGCTGTGTATCTGGAAGATTGAACATAAACAGAACTAGATCAAAACCCCTTGGGCCAGGGGTCCTGCTATTTAAATCGCATCCACATCTCCGCAGTTGAACATCGAAAGCTGGTGAGATGAATGCTTCTTCGCTGAGGACTGCCATTCACGTCGTCTACATCATCTACACCCTGTTACAGGCCAGGAAAGCAGCTGAAGCGGACTCGACCAGCTCCAGAGTGCAAGTTGGGGGTTTCTCAAACGAAACGACTGGGAGTCGGGAGTCCCAACTATTCACTGAGCTAAGCGCCTGTCCGGAGGTTGAGGGTCCGGTCCTCCTCAGGAGTTCCTGTCCACTCACACCTTCGATGGACACCTTTTCAATTTCCCGCTGACCTTGGCCACTTGTCTGAAGGGGCGAGGTTGGAAGAATCAGCTTTTGGCGTTTGAGAAGCTGCCAAACTGTAATTGCAGAGAAATACTGGGAACAAGGAGTGGTGGAGAGGGGGCAGCTTCTTGCAAGGTGGCCATCTCCCACACTGCTGCTGCCCTCTTGTCCCTGGCAGCGCTCCGGACACAAGGGCACTCAATCGTGACGAAAGGCGCCGTCGGGTCGCGCGACGCGGCGGGGCACGACATGAATGTTTTTGGAAAGATCAAAACTAATAGCGATGGCCTCCAACCTACTAGTCCTGGATATGGTTTTGTTTGAGGTGCTGTTTGTGCATGTGGCGGGCTTCCCCTTTCCGCAGGCCTTTGGCAAACGATTCTTCCGGGGTCCACGGACCTCGTGGCAACCTCGCTGCAACACTCAGCGATCTACAAGATGCCCCGTGGCCAAACTGCTTGTGCAGTTCACCTCACAGAATGTAGACTCTTGATTTCTTGTATTTCCAGCCCTCAAGCCTGACGAGGTTTTTCAATCAATGTCTGGGGGGTTATTCAAGAAGAGTCTACATGACGGCTGTGCCTCGATTTCTTGCGCAATCCTGAGGTACTTCCCAGCACAATCATTGAATCATGGCCGCAACTCGAGTATGAGTAAGTGCATGAAGACAGGGAGATTCCAAGAGGCACCCTATGGGTGTAGACTCAACTTGGTCATACTAAGCAGCACAAGTACATGGAAGAACTGCATTTGGATGACCGTACAAATAAAGGAGGTCGGCCACGTGTTGACTCTTCTCCAGAGTGTTCTACCCTCTATAAATAGTTGTGGGCAATCCCGTTGCATCATGGTCGCTGGCCTTGTGGTCCGCTTGTTCATGTAAGGATGAAGACGCTGAAGGTGCTTCCAGTGATGATGATTGGGAACCTCGACAGCTTTCAGATGCTTTCAGGCTTACATGAGAAGGTACAAGAAGGTGAGGAGAGGTGACTGTATATATATATATATATACTTCTTCTTGTTGTCTTTGTTTTCTCCCAAACGTGTGTTTTGGTCTCAAGACATGGATCATTCTTGAGGGGGGTTTCGAAGGGATGCCCTTGGCGACCGTTGGCCGATGCCGGCTGCACAGGAGCCACATGCTTTGGGGACACGAAACATGCCTAAGGACATGCTTGCAGAATCGTACCTACAGCAAACTGGATTATGCAGAAGGTTTTTTGCTCTCTTGTGTCTTGGCTCAGTGTGGAGTGAACGGGAGTGAAGATGCCAGGAAGAAAGATGTATGGAACACCAGAAGACGGAGACCACATGTTGACCCAGATCGAAAGGCAACCGCGAGCACATGGCGCAGTGACTGCAGCTGTTTTTCGGCCAAAGGCAGCCGAGAGAGTAGGCAGCGCAGTTGCACGCGGGCGAATAGCATTGCCCTTAATTTCATTTCCTGAACTCCACAGCATTGACTGTATTGATCAGAAGAGACCTGCTAGTCCTGCCTTTTCACTGAAGCGTCTAAATTCTTTTGAGATACCATGACTCTACGTCTTTTTCACCAGCGATGATGTTTTTCAGCGATCCTCCCGCACCATCTGCAGCTCGGCCGGATCTTGCATCGGAGCGTCTCCGGACGGAAGGCCACCGTGGCCTTGAAAATGAGACCGGTGCCAACCACTGCTTTCTGAATGTTGTGATCCAAGCACTCTGGAATTTGCAATCCTTCCGTAGGCGCTTACTGCGTGCACCATGGCATCAGCATGAAGCCCATGAAGTGGATGGAAAGTACGAGCAAGGCATCAGTAGCTCCTCTAGCAGCTGCTGTTACTGTGCCCTTAAATCTGTCTTCAAGGATTTTGCCAGCTCGGACGCCGACACCATTCCTCCAGACGCTTTGCGTCAGGCTCTGTCGAGTGTGTACGATGCGAAAGGCCGCTTCAAGACCGGGGAGATGGAAGATGCCACCGAAACCTGGGTTGGATGTTTATTGTAAGGGCTTCGCCCGGGTGCCGCCGACCCCTTTTCAAGAGGAGTGTAGCATGTGTAACTGAAGGCGTTAGTGTCGTTCCGGTGGTTGCCCGTCTGCGGAAAGAAGATGGGTGTTCTAGCCTTAGGCGTGGCCTCGGACAGGCTAACTGTGGCCTGTGCTAAAGCCCACAAAGGTGGAGATGCCAATGCCAATAAGGTTGCACTCTGCGAGGCGCCGAGAAGCGTCTGAGGGGGGCCGTCGCCTTCGGAAGCCTAGAAAAGAAGAGGCTGGCGTCGGCTGCTAGCACCGTACGTGGCAGCCCAGGCCATGCCAAGGCTGCGTGGCCTCGGACAGGCTAGCTGTGGCCTGTGCTAAAGCCCACAAAGGTGGAGATGCCAATGCCAAGGTTGCACCCTGCGAGGCGCCGAGAAACGTTTGAGGGGGGCCGTCGCTTCGGAAGCCTAGAAAAGAAGAGGGTGGCCTCGGCGGTTAGCATCGTATGTGGCAGTTCAGGCCATGCCAAGGCTGCGTGACATCGGACAGGCTAGCTGTGGCCTGCGCTAAAGCCCACAAAGGTGGAGATGCCAATGCCAAGGTTGTGCCCTGCGACCCCAGGATATACACCAACAACAGCAATCACAGCAGCAGCACTAAGAAGAAGACCCAGAAGCATCACAAGATCAGAAAAACCACTAGCAACAGGCAGCAAGAAGCATAGTAGCAATGCCTCTGTTCTGGCTGTGCTAATAGACTGGCGGCTGTT